GAGAGGGAGAACTTTGGGAATTCTGAGGACCCCCACCAGTCTGGGGAGGTTTGGAAACAGGTAGAGTGGCCCAGAGAGGGGAGACTGGAGAGAGTAAACCCTTGGGAAAGTTATTTTTGGCTGAATCTTGGTGTTTTGGAGGTTTTTGTGTGTACCTGGCACCTGGTGGCTTGGGCAGGATTAATGCACAACTCCATGCACTCATTCTTAGTTTTCCCCCCAAAGCAGGATTTCCTATTCCCAAACATTGGCTGGATGGACGAGGACGCTGCAAAGAAGGGGAAGACATCCCAGGACCCCCAGGCAGGTGAGGAGGAAGTCACCGCTCCTTTTTCCCCATCTYTTCTCCTCCATTTCCCMGCCCAGCATCTCCCCAKCTGCAGGAAAACCCCRCTGCCGACACCGTCCTGCCGGGGATCTCYTTCCCCTTCCCTCTGGCACGAAAGSAARTCCCATCCTCTCCTTGTCCTTCCTCCCCCAGACAAAGAGCCAAGGATGGAGACCAAGGAGGACCAATACCCCCAGCAGAACCTCGTGGAAGGGGCCATTCTAAGCGGCTCCACATCACAGGAATCCAATGGGGAGGAAACACCACGGACATCGCACAAAAAGAGGGGCCCCAAACCCAGCCCAGAGTGCTCTGAGGGGAAAAGACCCACCCAGTGCCCGGGAGGCACCCAGAGCTTCAGCCGGGGCTTGGAGCTGGTGGTCCATGAGCAGCTTCATGCTGGGGAGAAGCCCTACAAGTGCTTGGAGTGTGGGAAGAGCTTCAGCAAGAGCAACAGCCTGCTCCGTCACCGGCTGATCCACACTGGGGAATGGCCCTACGAGTGTGTGGAATGTGGGAAGGGCTTCAGCTGGAACTCTGAACTGATCCGCCACCAGCACATCCACACTGGGGAGAGGCCCTATGAGTGTCCCGAATGTGACAAGAGGTTTTCAAGGAACTCCCAACTCCTCATCCATCAGCGGATTAACTCAGAGGAGACGACATTCTGCTGCCCCGACTGCAGGAAGGGCTTCAAGCAAAACGTTGACCTCGTCATCCACCGGCGGATCCACACTGGAGAAAGGCCCTACAGATGCTTGGAATGTGAATCTCCGGCTTACCCGGAGATCTGTGCTGAACCGTCACCAGCGGATCCACACGGGAGAGAGGCCCTATGAGTGTCTTGAGTGTGGGAAGAGGTTTCCGACCAGCTCAGATCTTCTCAAACACCAGCGGATTCACACGGATGAGAGGCCCTTCCGCTGCCCTGACTGTGGGAAGGGCTTCAAGCGAAACTCCCACCTCATCACTCACCAGCGCATCCACACTGGGGAGAGACCCTACGAGTGTTCCCAGTGTGGGAAGAGCTTCTCAGACTGCTCTACCTTGGCCCAACACCTACAGAGGCACCAGTAAGGGAAGCCCTGTGAGTGCTCCGAGTTTGGGAAGAGCTCTGTGCGCTGCTCCAACTTCGTGCCCCATCAGAGGGCCCACGTTGGGCAGAGACCTGGTGACCCACATTCCTGGTGATCCCCGTTGGGATGACACCTGGCTGGTGGTCTCCACATCCTCCTGGATCCCTGTAAGCACCTGCATGAGCACAGGG